AAAAAAAAAAAAAGAAAGTCCAGGCACATATGATTAACAGGATAGGCAAGGCCAGAAGTATAGACACACTAAGAAGGCTCCCACAGTTATCTTTGAGAAAGTGTTTTATTTTTTTTAAAAAAGCCTATAGCACTCAGTATTCCCAGGCAATCTCCCATCCAAGTACTAACCAGGCCTGACCCTGCTTAGCTTCTGAGATCAGGCAAGATCAGGTGCATGCCTATGGTATGGCCATAGGTGAGAAAGCATTTTAGTAAGGCTTTTAAGGCAAAAGTTAGAGTCAAGAAAAATTTGCTCTTTAACATCAGGAAAGAACAGGTCAAAGTAAGAAGGAAACAAATAGCTAATGAGAAAATCACTTTATGATAGCTGCCTTTAAATGATAGAAGAGAAATTTCCATCTGGAATGGCTTAAAATGCTGAGTGCTAATCAACAGTGTTGCAGCTTGTCCCAGTGTGACTTACACAACCTGAAAATGACCAAAAAGGTCATGGGAAGAAGAGGGATGATGGAATTTCAATTAAAATCAGGATGGCATTTGTATATTGCTGGAGGTTGGATGTCTGTCCTCTAAATTTCAGGTTGAGATTTGATCTTCAATGTTGGAGGCAGGACCTAATGGGAAGTGTTTGGGGGGTGGATCCCTCATGAATAGCTTAGTGCCTTCCTTATAGTAATGAGTTCTCACTCTATTAGTTCCCAAGAGAGAGCTGGTTGTTAGGAAGAGCCTGGCACCTCTCATGCTCTTTTTATTTCCTCTCTCTCTCTCTCTTTTTTTTTTTTTTTGCAGTTTTTGGCCAGGGGCGGGGTTTGAACCTACCACCTCTGGTATATGGGGCCCCGGCACCGGGCTCCTTTGAGCCACAGGTGCTGCCCTTTATTTGCTCTCTGACCACGTGATCCCTACATACAAAAAGGCTCCCCTTCACCTTTAGCCATGAGTGGAAACACAGCCTGGGACTCTCACCAAATGAGAACTTTGGCCCAATCTGGAACTTTTCCAGACATCAGAATCCTAAGCTAAATAAGAACTTTTTCTTCCTAAATTATCCAGCTTCAGTTATTCCTTTACAGTAAAATTACATGGACTAAAACATGTAAGCTCACTAGCATGCAATTGATTAATCCAAAGTTTATGGCTAAAATTTATCAGGGGTCCTCCAAGAGCTTCTCTCTAAATCATGGCACTCAGAGGAAAACTGTGATTCTCTCAATTCATGAAAGAAGTACCTTAGGTTTTTGTTGTTGTTTGTTTGAGACAGAATCTCACTTTGTCACCATCAGTATAGCGCTGTGGCATCACAGCTTACAGCTACCTCAAACTCTTGGGCTTAAGCAATTCTCTTGCCTCAGCCTCCTGAGCAGCTGGGACTACAGGAGCCTGCCACAACACCTGGCTATCTTTAGAAACAAGGTCTCGCTCTTGCTCAGGCTGGTCTCAAACTCGTGAGCTCAGGCAATCCAACCGCCTCGGCCTCCCACAGTGCTAGGATTACAGGTGTGAGCTACCACACCTGGCCAGGAGTATCATAGTTTTGCTACCGATACTTATTGGCATGAGAAACAAAATGTTGGAAGTATACATTTGAGGTGTTTTGGCAGGTGCCTGCAGTCCCAGCTACTTGGGAGGCTGAGGCAAGAGGATTGCTTGAGTCCAAGAGTTTGAGGTTGCTGTGAGCTACAATGCCCCAATACTAAGGACAACAAAGTGAGACTCTGTCTCAAAAAAAAAAAAAGAAAGAAAGAAAGAAAGAAACTGGCAGCGACTCAAAGCTGCATCAACAGAAAATGGCTATACACGTATACATTCTGGAATATTCACACTGTGAGAACAAGCTATTGCTACATGTACTACATGAATTCACCTCACTATCTAAAAGAGTAAAATGCTAGATGGCTCCATTTATATGAATTTCAAAAATAGGTTAACTTGATCTATAATAGTGAAACAGTATTAGCTTTTGGTGGTGAGTGTCAACTAGAAGAAGAAATATGGAGCTTCTGGAGTGTTAGTAATATTCTGCATTTTGAGCTGAGTGTGGGGTTTATTAGTGAAAATGCATCAAGCCCTTTCCTGTACTTAGATTTCAAAACAAATTTATAAAAATAAGTTAATAACAAAAGAAAAGTTAAATTTGTGTATCATACCTTGGTTTCACCCCAGGTGGCTTTGCCAAAATTCTCAGCATATTCTTCATCATCTGTGATCAGGAAGTTATCAAAGATAGTTCCAGATCTCACCTGCAGATGGAAATAAGGCCTTCTTTATTGATGTGAAATACATAACAACTTTCTAAAAAGAAACTGTTGCATTTTGCTCAGTACTGTAGCACTGATTAGCTCTAAAGAGTAGATGGTGATGGCTCGGCGCCTGTAGCTCAAGCGGCTAAGGCTCCAGCCCCATACAACTAAGCTGGCAGGTTGGGACCCGCCAAACAACAATGATGTCTGCAACCAAAAAAAAATAGCGAGGCATTGTGGCAGGCGCCTGTAATCCCAGCTACTTGGGAGGCAGAGGCAGGAGAATAGCTTGAGCCCAGGAGTTGGAGGTTTCTGTGAGCTGTGATGCCACAGCACTCTACCAAGGGTGACAGCTTAAGGCTCTGTCTCAAAAAAAAAAAAAAGAGTAGATGGTGATTAAACCCATTTCTAGAATGTCTGTTCTCTCTAGGGCAGCAGTCCTCAACCTTTTTGGCATCAGGGACCAGTTTCACGAAAGACAATTTTTGCATGGACTGCGTGGTAGGAAGCTAGGACAGGAGGCAGAGCTGAGGCAGTGATGGCAATGTGAGCAGGGAGCAACTGTAAATACAAACAAAGCTTCACTTTCGTGCCCACTGCTCACCTCCTGCTGTGCAGCCCGGTTCCTAAGAAGCCACAGATCTGTACCAGTCTATGGCCTGGGGGTTGGGGACTACAACTCTAGAGTACTGGTTCTCAAATTTGGCTGCACAAGGGGATCACCAGGAGCATTTTATTATGTTTTTTTTTTTTCAGTTCAGAAAATACCTTTCAGTCACAGTTATCAGACTGGAACCAGGAGCATTTTTAAAACTTCTAGTGCCTGGTTTTCTCCTGGGGATGCTGATTTTAACATGGGCATGAATGCCAGAGCTTTTGGAGGACAAGGTGGGAGGATCACTTGAGGCCAAGAGTTCAAGATAATGGTAAGATATGATGACATACCACTGCACTCCACTCTGGGCAACAGGGTGAGACCCTATCTCTAAAAAATCCCAAAGCTCCCCAGTAACTTGAATATTCAGCAATGATGTTTGAGGAGCAGTGTTCTAGAAGATTACCTGGATGATGAGCCAGCAGCATCAGTACTGCTTAGGAGCTTGCTGGGAATGCAGAATCTCAGGCCCTACCCTGGAACTTCTGCAGCAGAATCTGCACTCATCCTAAAGCTGATGGGTGCCATGTGTCAGCTCTAGGCAGAGAAGTGGCATGTCCAGGTGTAGTGTGGAAGGTGAATAACAAGGGGGCAGAAAGGTTGGAACAATAGCTGTATCACTAGGGTCCAGGTATGGGTGTATCTGGCACACAGAAGATGCTCAGTGTACATCAGTTATGTGAATTAAGGCATTCAGGCTGAAGTTCAGAACTATTAAGCTAACGAAAATTTAAAACCAAGTGACCTGCCAAAGCTCCAGTCCAATGGCACCAATGTTCTCAAATTCTGAGAGGTCATATTGCGTCAAACAGTTGGTGCTTTTCATCTTCTGGTGGAGCCAAATGTCTTTATCGATACCCTCTGGCTTCAGACCATCCTGCAATAAATAAACCATATAGTGTGGGCTCAGCTGGGTGTGGTGGCTTATGCCTGTAATCCCAGCACTCTGGAAGGCTAAGGTGAGAGGAATGTTTATACCCAGGAATTCAAGGCTGAAGTGAGCTATGACAGCTTCACTGCACTCCAGCCTGGGTGACAGAGTGAGACCCTGTCTTTAAAATAAACAAACATATAGATCCCTGGGCATCATGAGAAGATGCCACCCACCTGGTAGGGGGGCTTCTGGAGCATTGGAGCCTGCCAGTCGCCATCCAGCTCAGCATTCCAGTCACTTGGCTTGCTAGCGCTGGCGTCCAGAAAATGCTTTTCCCAGTCCTTCAGAGACATGTAAGGAAAGGATAAAATCAGTCAGTTGTTCAGATCTGAGAGAAAAAATTCTTAGATGCTGAGAAGCAGGGTCAGGCTGCTGACCCTGGTGCAACACCCACCCCATTCAATGTGGTAGTTGAAAGCCAAGCACTGGGGCTCCCAATCACACAAGGTCTTCAGGTGCCTGGTTCTCCCTAGCCCTCCAGGTGATTTCAGCACTTTTCTACACACTGAAAACCTGAAATAGTGGCAAAAGTGAAACGATGGGGCAAACACTGATGATATACAGCTGCTTTGTTTATGTTAACTCTCTCTTCTGCATCATAGTCGTATGTGGACTGTTCTGGAGAGAGAGGTAACAAGTAAGTGTTCCAAGATCTGCTGGGTAGCAGGAGAAAGGCAGTCACATTACTGAATCCATACACACATACACAAACACACACACGTATACTGCAATGGACTGAATATTTGTCTCCTCATAAGTCATATGTTGAAATCTTCATGCCCAAAGTGGTGGTGTTAGGAGGTGGGGTCTTTGAGAGCAGATTAAGTTGTGAAAAAAGCCCTCATGAATGGGATGACTGTTCTTACAGAAGGGACCCCAGAGAGCTCCCTTGCATTCATGTGAGAATATAGCTAGAAGTTGACCACCTGCCACCCTAAAGAGGGCCCTCACTAAAACCCAAACATGCTGATACCCTCCTCTTGGACATCCAGCCTCCAGAAATATGAAAACTAAATTTCTGTTGTATGAGCCACTCAGTCTACGGTACTTTGTTATAGCTGCCCAGACCAAAACACACACACACACACACACATACACACATATATGCACACGTGCACATATACACACGCTTAGTAGGTGTTCAATAAATGAATAGATAAAAAAAAGTTGCTATGGATTAACTAATGTTTATTTTGTATAAATACTTATACAAAAGCATACCAATCTTGTACAATGGTGTCCTCTCTTTTAGAATAACTGAAAAATATTAAGCATTTAGCCCTTAGACTAAGGCTGTTCTGTGACAGGGCTGTCCAACCTTTTGCCTTCTCTGTACCACATTGGAATAAGAAGAGTAATCTTGGGCCACACATTAATATACAAACACTAATGAAAGGTGATAAGTGGGGAAAAAAAATCCAGGTTTGACGGCACCCATAGCTCAGTTGGTAGGGCACCAGCCACATATACCCAGCCTGTTGGGTTTGAATCCAGCCTGGGCCAGCTAAAACAATGGCAAGTGCAACAAAAAAATAGCCAGGCATTGTGGCAGGCGCCTGTAGTCCCAGCTACTTGGGAGGCTGAGGCAAGACAATCGCTTAAGCCCAAGAGTTAGATTGCTGTGAGCTGTGACACCATGGCACTCTACCCAGGGCGACAGCTTGAGACTGTTTCAAAAAAAATCCAGGCTCAGCACCCGTAGCACAGTGATTACAGTGCCAGGCACATACACTGCATACACCAAGATTGGCGGGTTCAAACCCGGCCTGGGCCTGCTAAACAACAATGACAACTGCAACAAAAGAATAGCCAGGTGCTGTGGTGGGCACCTATAGTCCCAGCTACTTGGGAGGCTGAGGCAAGAGAACTGCTTAAGCCCAAGAGTTTGAGGTTGCTGTAAGTTGTGACGCCACAACACTCTACCAAAGGCAACATAGTGAGACTATGTCTCCAAAAAAAAAAAAATCCATACATAATTTTCATGATATCCATCACCACAGAAAAGCAAAAATATCCTCATATGATCTGCATGGGGCCTGTGGGCCACAGGTTGGACACCCCTCCAAAAACATCTCAACAACTGACCCAGGGGATTTTGTTACTTTCCTTTTACTGTTACTCCTCACTCCCACTAACAACAGAGAAGCTACTCTGATATTTGGAGCCTTCAAACAGTTCCAATTTAGTCCAAGTAGCTGGCTCCTTATAATTGTGGGTTATGAAATCATAATGCTATTATTAACTAATTGGCTTAGGAGCTCACACAGTACTCTACCTGTAGACTAAATACAGCCATCTGGAAAATGAGCCTGTGAAAAGGTGATTCACCTCCTGTCAGGGCCTGCCTCAGGCACGGCCTGCCTCAGGCACACCCCGCTCTCAGGTGCATCCAAACTGTTCTCCACTAGGTCAATGTCCCTGTAGCTCAGAGGCAGTGAGGATTTCAGTCCCAAGATCTACATCTCCTACTGAGTGGCCCAGTAGCTCCAGAGTAAGTTTTTTTGCCACTCTCTGGTTGGTTTCTATGTCTGGAATACATCCTATAGGCTTACAGTGCTGCTGAGAAGAACATGAGTATGCCAGGTATCTGACACAAAAGAGACTCTGAATATAATGGTGGCCTGTGGAGTGGTCAGTAGTAGTTTCCCAAAGTATTTGTATGCATTCTAATCTATGAATATTACCTTATCTGTTTTGGGGGGGGTTTTTTGTCAGGGCTGGGTTTGAACCCACCACCACTGGCATATGGGGCCGGTGCCCTACCCTTTTGAGCCACAGGTGCCACCCAGAATATTACCTTATCTGGAAAAAGGGTCCTTGCAAATGTAATCAAGCAAAGGACCTTGAAATGAGATTATCCTGTGTTATCTAGGTAGGTCCTATATCTAATGACAAGTGTCCTTGTAAGAGACCAGTGATGAAAAGACACAAGAAGAGAAGAAGGCCATGTGAAGACAGAGGCAGAGACTGGAGTGATGTGTCTACCGGGCAAAGAACATCTGGGGCCACCAGAAGCTGGAAAAAGCAAGGAAGGATCCTCCCCTACAACCTCTAGAAGGATCATAGGTGGCCCTGCCAACACTTAGAAAATCTGTGAGGGGCTCAGCACCTCAAGTGGCTAAGGCGCCAGCTACATACCCCTGAGCTGGTGGGTTTGAATCCAGCTCGGGCCCGCCAAACAATAATGATGGCTGAAACCAAAAAATAGCCGGGTGTTGTGGTGGATGCCTGTCATCCCAGCTACTTGGGAGGCAGAGGCAGGAGAATTGCTTGAGCCCAGGAGTTAGAGGTTGCTGTGAGCTGTGATGCCATGGCACTCTACCCAGGGCAACAGCTTGAGGCCAGGTCTCACAAAAAAAAAAAAAAGAAAAGAAAATCTATGAGGAAATACATATTTATACTTTTAAGATGCCTACTTTGCAGTACTGTTACAACAGGCCAAGAAAACAGGCCATATTAAACTGTATGTTAACTGATTCTTAGTTAACAGTCACAACAAATATGATGCTCAGAAAATACAGAAAAAAAGTCATTTTTAAAAAGGTTGCAGATAAATTTTTTTTTTGAGACAGTCTCACTATGTCACCCTCAGTAGAGTGCTCTGATGTCACAGCTCACAGCAACCTCTAACTCTTGGGCTGAAGGGATTCTCTTGCTCCAGCCTCCTAAGTAGCTGGGACTACAGACACCTGCCACAATGCCTGGCTATTTTTTTTGTTGCAGTTGTCATTGTTGTTTAGCTGGCCCAAGCTGGGTTCAAAACCACCAGCCTCAGTGTATGTGGTTGGCACCGTAACCACTGTGCCACAGGTGCTGAGCCTCTTTTTTTTTTGAGACAGAGCCTCAAGCTATCCCCCCTGGTAGAGTGCCGTGGCATAACAGCTTACAGCAACCTCCAACTCTTGGGCTCAAGCGACTCTCCAGCCTCAGCCTCCCAAGTAGCTGGGACCACAGGTGCCTGCCACAACACCCGGCCATTTTTTGGTTGCAGCCCTCATGGTTGTTTTGGTGGGCCTGGGTTGGATTTGAACCCGTCACCTTAGGTGTATGTGGCTGGCGCCTTAGCCACCTGAGCCATAGGCGCTGAGCCTTTTTTTTTTTTTAAGAGATGGGGTCTCGCTATGTTGCCCAGGCTGGTCTTAAATTCCTGGCCTCAGTCAATCCTCCTGCCCCAGCCTCCTGTAAGCATTATCCTTTCTTTTTAATTAAAAAAAATAAAAAGAGTGGGCGGCACATGTGGCTCAGTGAGTAGGGCACTGACCCCATATACCGAGGGTGGCAGGTTTGAACCCGGCCCCAGCCAAACTGCAACAAAAAATACCCAGGTGTTTTTCTGGGACCTATAGTCCCAGCTACTCAGGAGGCTGAGGCCAGAGAATCACCTAAGCCTAAGAGCTGGAGGTTGCTATGAGCTGTGAAGCCACAGTACTCTACCAAGGGCAACAAAGTGAAACTCTGTCTCTAAAAAAAAAAAAAAGAGTTAAAAAAACAAAACCTACTTTGCTTTCATCTCAAATATCATAAAACTCTTACAATACCTTGAAATGTGTAGATATGTGGCTAGTCTCAGGGGCATGTGCTCTGAAAAGGGCATTTGGTTGTTATAATATTGTCAGCATGATTCCTAGCCACACAGCAACTCTATAAGAATTGGGTACTCACAAGTCTACTCATACACTTATCTAGAGTTGTTCAGGAAGAATCCATACCTGGGTTTTGTCATCTTTAGCATGATCCCAATCCTTAGACTCTGCCAACTTTTCCTTCTTAAGTGACGTTAAGTTCCAGTCGTACTCTATGCTGCCGGATTCAATGGATTGACCATCAATTTTCACATCATAAGTAAGATCTGGTCTTAAAATCAGAGTGTAGAGGTGTGTAAAGGCATCAACCTGCACATGTTAGCGGGGGCAGGGGAAAGGGGTAACAATGAATCCCTAGATGTTTCAACACAATATGCAATTTAAAACTGTCATCAGATGAGCCTTGTATAAACAACAAGGGAAAAATCTAGAAACATGAGTTAATTTGAATATACAAGAGAATCATACTAAACAATCACCCCTTTGTACAATACTTCCTCACTTTCATAACAGACTTGAGTTGTTGATCCCCTTTGTACAAAGACAATGGCCCCACCTGTCAACCCACAGGCCATTATAACAAGGTGGTAGGTACAAACCAAAGGGCCACTGTATGGTTTGATTTATGAAAAGTTAGATGAAAATAACTTCCTGCTCTGCTTTACATTCTGAAATATAAAGATGCCAAATGGGGTGATGCCTTTGGCTCAAGGAGTAGGGCGTCAGCCCCATATACTGAGGGTAGCAGGTTCAAGCCCAGCCCCAGCCAAAACTGCAAAGAAAAAAAAAAAACTTTAAGTAAAGATGCCAAAAAGTCCACTGTCATATACATCTGTTTCTCTATATAAGGAAGAACTTCCTAATGCTCTGAGGTGTGCAACAATTCAAGCTGTCTTGGGCAGGCCTGGTGCCTTCCTCTCTCAGTCATGGTTAGAACCCAGGAAGCATTCAGCAAATATCCAAATAAAGCAGTGGTACCTTTTAGGTACCAGGAACTGATTTCATGAAAGACAATTTTCCACAGATTGGGGATGGGGAGGGGATTAGATTCTCATAAGGAGCGCAGCCTAGATCCCTTGCATACAGTTTGCAGTAGGGTTCAGCTCCTATGTGAATCTAATGCGTCTGCTGATGTGACAGGAGGCAGAGCTTAGGTTGTGATGCAAGGGATCAGGAGTGGCTGTAAATACAGATGAAGCTTCCCTCCCCCACCAGCCACTCACCTGCTATGCAGCCCAGTTCTTTTTTTTTTTTTTTTTTTTGAGACAGAGCCTCAAGCTGTCCCCCTGGGTAGAGTGCCGTGGCACTATAGCTCACAGCAACCTCCAACTCCTGGGCTCAAGCGAGTCTCCTGCCTCCGCCTCCCAAGTAGCTGGGACCACAGGCGCCCGCCACAACGCCAGGCTATTTTTTGGTTGCAGCCGTCATTGTTGTTTGGCGGGTCCGGGCTGGGGATTCGAACCCGCCACCTTAGGTGTACGTGGCTGGCGCCTTAGCCGGTTGAGCTATAGGCGCCGAGCCTGCAGCCCAGTTCTTAACAGGCCATGGACTGGTACCTAGGAGTTGGGGACCACAGCAATAAAGAAAGGAAGGAAGGTAGGTAGGGAGGTCCCTGAGACACACCTGCCTGTCTGAGCAGAGAGGACCTCTACATCACACTCCAACAGTGGTTCTCAAAGTGTGGGCCCAGCCAAGCAACATCACCTGGGCATCCATGAGAAATACCCATTCCCAGATCCACCCTGACCTGCTGAATGGGAACCCAGGTGGGCCTAGAAGTTGACTTCACAGCCCTTGGAGATCCTGATGGTTCTCAGGGTTGAGAACCTCTGTCCTACCATCTCAAAGGCTCTGTATTATGTCAGCAGCTTCCCTCCCTACTAAGTGCCAATGCTAAAGGCCTCTTCAGTTCCTGTGTGCACTGCCCCCAAGGACAGGCTGCCCTATCCACCCTGTGGCTGATGGCTCTGTTCAGCATCAGCAGCACTATAGTCTACTCTCTGTCACCTCTTGGCTTCTATAGTCTACTGTGACAGCTGAGTACCCACTTCTACCATTCTTCTCCTGGACCCTGCCTACCTTCCTCTTGATCCACCCTTTCTAATTTACATTTTGGGTTTCATCACCCCAGTTGCAGGCCTGTTCTAGGATTTGGTTATCAGTGTGCTGCAAATGGCTCCCAAACTGGCATCTTCAACCCTAATTTTTCTTTTCTTTTTTTTTTTTTTTTGAAACAAGAGTCTCACTTTGTCACCCTCAGGAGAGTGCTGTGGTATCATAGCTCACAGAGACTTTCAACTCTTCGGCTTAAACAATTCTCTTGCCTCAGCCTCCCAAGTAGCTGGGACTACAGGTGCCCGCCACAATACCCAGCTATTTTTTTAGAGACGGGATCTCACTCTTGCTCAGGCTGGTTTTGAACCTGTGAGATCAGGGCAATCTATCTGCCTTGGCCTCCCAGAGTGCTAGGATTTTAGGCGTGAGCCAGCACACCCCCACACCCTTTTTCTGGAGACAGAGTCTCACTATGTTGTCCTCTGTAGAGTACAACAACCTCAAATTCTTGGGCTTAAGTGATTCTCTTGCCTCAGCCTCCTAGTAGCTGGGACTACAGGTACCTGCCACAATGTCCGGCTATTTTTTTGTTATTGTTGTCATTGTTGTTTGAGCAGGCCCTGGTTGGCTTCAAACCCACCAGCCTTGGTGCATGTAGCTGGCTTCCTAACCACTAAGCATGGGCGCTGAGCCCTCATTTTTTGGGGGAGACAGATTCTCACTCTGTGGCCCTGGGTAGAGTGTTGTGGTATCATGATAGCTCACAGCAACCTCAAACTCTTGGGCTCAAGTGATCATCTTGCCTCAGTTTTTCTATTTTTTAGTAGAGATGGGGTCTTGCTCTTGCTTAGGCTGGTCTTGAACTCCTGAGCTCAAGCAATTCACCCACCTAGGCCTCTCAGAGTGCTAGAATTATCAGTGTGAGCCACTGTACCTGGCCATCAACCCCAATTTTTCAAGAACTTATACTTGGATGCCTACCAGAATTTTTTTTTTTTTTTTGAGACAGAGCCTCAAGCTGTCCCCCTGGGTAGAGTGCCGTGGCATCAACAGCTCACAGCAACCTCCAACTCCTGGGCTCAAGCGAGTCTCCTGCCTCCGCCTCCCAAGTAGCTGGGACTACAGGTGCCCGCCACAACGCCCGGCTATTTTTTGGTTGCAGCCGTCATTGTTGTTTTGGCGGGTCCAGGCTGGGGATATGAACCCGCCACCTTGGGTGTACATGGCTGGCGCCTTAGCCGGTTGAGCTATAGGTGCCGAGCCCAGAATTTTTTTTTTTAATTGAATGGTAACTATGTACATTAATGCACTTCTGGGGTACAGTGTGGTGTTTTCACATAAAATTTGAAACATTTCCATCAAACTGGTTAACATAGCCTTCATGTCATTTTCTTAGTTATTGTGTTAAAACATTCATATTCTACTCTTAGAAAGATTCACTTGTACCCTTGTAAGATAAACCACAGCCTACCGGGATTTGACACCAAACTCTCCAAATATGAACCCTAATCTGCCTGAGCCACCTCCTTAGGCTTTGTTCCCCTCGTGGTTAGTAAAAACACCACTGAGTGTCATGGCCTACATCCTTGGTACTCATGTCCTAGATGTCTAGAAGGCCTCTTGGACCTGTCAAACCTGTCCTCTGTTCTACATTCCACTGTGCTTTGGCCTAACAATCTCATCTGTCTCCCTGCCACTGGATCAAGCCCTGCCCCTCTACCCATGAACATCTGAGGTATTGTTCTCTCTCTTTTTTATTTTTTTGAGACAGAGTCTCACTTTGTCATCCTTGGTAGAGTGCCGTGGCATCACAGCTCATAGCAACCTCAAACTCTTGGGCTCAAGTGATCGTCTTGCCTCAGCCTCCCATGTAGTTGGGACTACAGGCACCTGCCACAATGCCCAGCTTTTTTTTAACACAGAGTCTCATTTTATTGCCCTCAGTAGAGTGCTGTGGTGTCATAGCTCACAGCAACTCCAACTCCTGGGCTTAAGCAATTCTTTTGCCTCAGCCTCCCAAGTAGCTGGGATTATAGGCACCCACCAGAACGCCTGGCTATTTTTTTGTTGCAGTTTGGCCAGGGCTGGGTTCGAACCTGCCACCCTCGGTATATGGGGCCAGTGCCCTACCCAACTGAGCCACAGGTGCCGCCCAATGCCCAACTGTTTTTAGAGATGGGGTCTCCTTCTGGCTCGGGCTGGTCTCCAACCCGTGAGCTCAAGCAATCCAACCGCCTCGGCCTCCCAGAGTGCTGGATTACAGGCTTGAGCCACCATGCTCAGTCTTGAAGTATTTATCTAACACAGAGATCAGATCCCCACCTCGGAAACTCTTTGGGAGATGACCATTGCCCATAAGTGAGGTTCTGGACCTTTCCTTTATAGCTGCAGTTCCCAATCCCTGGGCCACTGACCAGTACTGGTCTGTGGCCTGTTAGGAACCGGGCTGCATAGCAGGAGGTGAGTGGTGACAGAGGGAAGCTTCATCTGCATTTACAGCTGCTTCCCATCACTGGTATCGCTGTCTGAGCTCTGTCTCCTGTCACATCAGCAGTGGCATCAGACTCTCGTAAAAGCACGAACTTTACCATAAACTGCACATGCCCGGGATCTAGGTTGCATGCTCTGTATGAGAATCTAATGCAGATGATCTGAGGTGAAGATGTAATGTGCTTGAATCATCCCAAAACCTCCCCTCCCACACTTCCAATTTTGTGGAAAAATTGTCTTCCATGAAACTGGTCCCTGGTGCCAAAAAGGTTGGACACCACTGCGTCCAGCATCATGCAATGAATGAGAGCACAGTGAGAGTAACTGTGCTCTTTCCTAAGAAGATCATAATGCCAACTGGCTGCTATGAATCAAGGTTGCTTCGACAGTGGGTGGCAACACTCGGATGGGGATGTCATTGGACTGTACACACTGTGAGGGCCACGTGGACTTGCTGAGTGAGGCAACCACGTCTTGGCCTCCTACAGAATGAGTTCCCTGACACGTTCCAGGTTGGACCACAGCCCCTGTGGCATCTTCCTCATATCCCTAAAATTGTGCAACTGAACAATTTCTAAAGAATTAATCATAAACTGGCCTTTTGGTTCAAACAATAAGGAAGGAAAGAAGACTTGGAATGTGATTTCCCGCTCACCCCCTTAGAAAAGGGTGTGAGACTACAGTGTGCAGAGAGGACCTGCTGTTCCTTTATAACTACCATGTCAGTGGGTGGGACCCCAGAGAGGAACCGTTAGTCTCAGGGTTTTGTGAAGAAGAGAAGCACTCCCCTGCAAGGGTGAGAGATCGCATAAAGAGCAGTTATGGACGTTTGTCCTCTATGTGACCCATGATCTTGAACTGCAAGACCCAAACACATTGGGTCTCCCCCATGCATTTGTTAAGGGCCTGGATCCAGTATAGTAGTTGTAGGTACTAGGAATGTCTTGGGGGATGGGTTCCCTGCTTCCTGGTGCTTACATTCAAACTGGAGAATGGCAAGTGGTGGAGAGCGTAGTTCTCCTAAACTAATGCAAGCTGTCTCTTTGGAGAACCCCAGGGCTGGGCCACTGGCAGCTACTAGTGGCCATGTAAGTGTCCACTCAACTCTATGTCTCCACCAGGGAACAGCAACTGAGTTTTAAAAGAGGGCACCAAGACAGTATTATTTTCACAGGATTCTCTGGGTAAAAAGAGTATGAATATTTCATTTTAGAAATTTTCCCTTTTATGATGTATTGGTATTTTGAAGTACTGGTCTGTGGCCTATTAGGAAGTGGGCTACACAGAATTTTTCCAGATTTTTTTTGTCCTGAATGATGGATATGGCCGAAATGTAACTATCTTACGGCAACCCTCATGGGGCAGATTATAATATGACTTTGTAATCACAGTTTTTAAAAGTGAGAGTGACCTCCTGAAGGGGTAAAACATTAGAAAAACAAACCAAAGTGGACAAGTATCTCTAATGGGCCTGCTAACCGGAAATTGAGGACAGGAGGTAAGTTTGTGAAGACCTATCATTGGGTCAGTTAAATGTTTTAAGATCAAAACTATTTTCTCTAAACTTAGTTCATCAGACCAGAGTGAACACAATCATTCACTTGCATACAAGAGCATTTACCTTACACCTGATTGATTTCTTGTTTGCGTGATACTGATTCTTGAAATGTAAAATAACATGAACTTTCTTGATATCAAATCCACAAATATCAGGTCCTACAAAAAAAAATTAGCTGTTCTCAATTTCCTTCCATTATGTATGACCATAGAATACCCCACCTTGATCTTTGCTAAATACATGAGACACAGGAAGCATATATATCCAGGAATAATCACATTAAGTTATTTAAATGAGGACAAGCACAGTGGCTCCTGCTGGTAATCCCAGTTATTCAGGAGGCTGAAGCAGGCAGATTGGTTAAGCCCATAAGTTTGAGGTTGCAGTGAGGTATGATGATACCACTGCACTCTAGCCTGGATAAAAGAGTGAGACAGTGAGACTCTGTCAAAAAAAAAAAAAAAAAAAAGAAAGTCAATCTTGACTTCACAAAGCTATTTGCCAATGAAATAGGCTAACACATGTAAATCATTGAGTATGTTCAAACTCAATACTTGTTGCTATGATGATGATACTGATAATGACCCCAAGAGAACACATATTTATGTTCTCAATGATAAATTCAGATTGTAAGCAAAAGAGAGATGGTGATCAATATGTAGGTTCTGAACAACAATGCTATCTACATGGTTTTATCACTAATGTTAAGAATGTATAAACTGGCCCTTACAGAGTTAAGTTTCAGTAACCTAAGGAAATAGAATTTCCTAGGACACTCTGCTCCAGGAGATGGGACCAGATAAGAAATTATGGCTTTCTGAGTGTTTTAGGAGGTATCTGGAAAATTCATCAAACTTGAAGATGTCTGCTTTTGGAACATCCACTGGCCCAGGCACCTAACCCGGGGGAGTCTAAGAGGCAAACTCAGTGTGAATATAAGCATGTGACTGCTATGATTTCTTTTAGGTGACAGGTTAATTGTTCTCATGAATTTGTAGTGATGACCTTCCAGAATAAACAATAGAGATCCAAGCTCCTGTCACTATTTTAAGAATATTACCAAGTTACCACTCTGGAAGGCTGAGGCAGGAGGATCTCTTGATCTCAGGAGTTCGAGACCAGCCTGAGCTAGAACAAGACCTCCTCTCTACCAAAAATAGAAAAAATTAGCTGAACGTAGTGGCACGTACTTGTAGTCCCAGCTACTTGGTGGGTGGGGAGGGACTAAAGCAGGAGAATCACTTGAGCCCAGGAGTTTGAGGTTGTAGTGAGCTATGACAATGCTACTACACTCTAGCCAGGGCAACAAAGAGAGACTCTGTCCCCACTCCACCCTCCCGCCAAAAAAAAGAATATTACTAGTTTGTCGGAAGTAGGTGCTACATTAAACTTGGAGATAGCATTTTAGGGGATAACAAAGAACACTAGGTCTATGTCCCAACTGAGTTCTTTTTTTTTTTTTTTTTTTTTTGAGACAGAGCCTCAAGCTGTCCCCCTGGGTAGAGTGCTGTGGCATCAAAGCTCACAGCAACCTCCAACTCCTGGGCTCAAGTGAGTCTCCTGCCTCCGCCTCCCAAGTAGCTGGGACCACAGGCACCCACCACAACGCCCGGCTGTTTTTTGGTTGCAGCCATCATTGTTGTTTGGTGGGCCGGGCTGGATTCGAACCCTCCACCTTAGGTGTATGTGGCTGGCCCTTAGCCACCTGAGCCACAGGCGCCGAGCCCCAACTGAGTTCTTGAAGGACAAATGTTTTTGTAATTTCCTTTTTTGTCATCACTGAAGAACATTCTGGTTTAATTTTTAAAACAAAAGCTATGCTATGTGAGCTATTTGTGTGAAAGTCTACTTCCTTAGGATTGAGAAATACAATTTATTTTTCCTTCAAAATTGGACAGAATTTCCCTCTCTATTCCTAAGCATTTATACATTTTTTTCAAGGCTTCAGAACACACTGAGAACTGACCAGAAAATCTGGCCATTATCCTTTCACAGAAATAATACAATATTTATGCATGTAATGAATGCTCATGAGGAAATGGGTAGACAGATGGGTTCTGAAGTCAGGTTGATCTAACTTTGAATGAGTAGTTTAATCTCTCTGTTCCTCAGTTTTCTTTCTTTCTTTCTTTTTTTTTTTCTGAGACAGAGTCTCAAGCTGTTGCCCTGGGTAGAGTGGCATGGCATCACAGCTCACAGTAACCTCCAACTCCTGGGCTCAAGCGATCCTCTTGCCTCGGTTTTTCTATTTTTAGTAGAGACGGGGGGTCTCACTTTTTGCTCAGGCTGGTCTTGAACTGGTGAACTCAAGCAAATCACCTACCTTGGTCGCCCAAAGTGCTAGGATTAAGCCACTGTGCCTGACCCAGCCTCAGTTTTCTTATTTGCAAAATTTATGCATAATTTATATGTATGTATTTTTGCAAATACAAAGGCTCAAATAAAGGTCCAATAAAATATATTTCCCTCCCCTTCCTCCTCAACACCTCACCCCTCAGTAAGACCCCTTCCTACCAAACACTAGAGCTGACTCATTACCAGGAAGTGTTCCAACAGTGCAGAGTGGGTTTGAGTAAAAAGGAAATGTTTTTGAGTTAAAAATAAAAGTAATATGGAAAATTTATTTTAATTATTTGGGTTTTTTTTTTTTTTTTTT